GGATTCCAATACTGACTGAAACCAGCTGAGACATCCAGTCTCATGAACTGAACAACTACTGACTGGGCTCTTGGCCTTTCTGTTGGGAGATAGCCATTGTTAGACTAGACAGATCACAGCCTACAAAACACTCTAATAAATCACCGTGTGTGTGTGTGTGTGTGTGTGTGTGTGTGTGTGTGTGTCTGTGTCTGTGTGTATGTGTGTGTGTGTGTGTGTGTGTGTGTGTGTGTATGGGTACATATTGCCACAGTGAGCATGTGGAAGTTGGAGGACAACTTGTAAAAGCCAGTTCTCTTCTTCCACATTATGATTGTGCAATCAGAGAACTAAACTCAGGCCATGCATATTATACATGTACATATTTACATATATAATATATACTCATTCATTCTATTAGTTCTGTTCCCCTAGGGAATCTTGACTACTACACTGTCCTTGGAAATAACATCCATCAATTGGATGTTAAATAACTATGCCACAGCTATGCAATGAAGCAAAATAGAAGCTGATGTCATAGAGCAGATGTGGTTGAGAAAGTGTTCTTGGAAAATAAAAATACAAAATAACATTTTAAAAAATTGCACTGGGCTGGAGAGATGGCTCAGCGGTTAAGAGCTCTGACTGCTCTTCAGAGGTCCTGAGTTCAATTCCCAGCAACCACATGGTGGCTCACAACCATCTGTAATGGGATCTGACGCACTCTTCTGGTGTGTGTCTAAACACAGCTACAGTATACTCAGATAAATAAAAATAAATAAATAACATTTTTTTAAAAAGTACACTACTGTCAAATTTTAGTAATAGAGAACTGGAATGAGGGAGGGCAACATAAGAACTCTACTTCCAGTAGATTATTTTTCTATAATTCTAAAACTATGTTAAAACTAAAGCTATTAAATATTTTAAAGGCTATATAGAATGTTTTTTCAAATCTACCAAAAGTGAACACATTTATCACCAACAAATCTCAGCCACAAGAAATGCCAAAGGTAGTCAAAAAAAAAAAAGAACCTGTTAAAAGACTGAAATACAGATCCACAAACAAGATGAATCCTACTAAAAACGAAAATCATTCTAAATACAACATACTAGGTGTGTATTATTCTTAAGGACAATGTTAAACCAAATTTTTAAACAATTGGAGGTATATAACATGCAGAGGTAAAGTGTGCATCAATAGCACAAAAATCACAGAGGAGAAATGAAAATCCACTGTGGCACGGTGTTTATTCTACATGAGGTGGAATACCATTTGACCACAGAGTGTGATTTTAAATATATATTGTAAGCCCTAAAACAATCAGTAAAATAACAGACTTAGTGCTAAGAAGCCCACAAAACAACAAAAATGGATTAAAATAGTTTCTCAATATGAAACAAAGCATAAAAAGGAAAAGAATAAGATGAATATGAACAACAAAATTGAATAATCATAATCCTCTCAAAAAACACATTAAATATAAAGAGTCTAAACATCCCAACTAAAAAGCAGAGGTTAATGGAGCATGGTGGTTTACACCTGTAATCCCAGCATTTGGGAGCCTGAGCCACAAATATTGTCAGGAGCTTGAAGCCATATTGGCTGTACAGTGAATGTCATCAAAGTTTGGACTGTAGAATGAGATTCTATTCAGGAATGGAAATTATGACCCATGCTACAACATAGATGAATCTTGAAGACCTTATGCTAACAGAAACAAACCAGTCACAAGATATCCTATGATTCCACTGTGTACAGCATCTAGGCTCATCAAATCCATAGAGGCAGAAAGCTGGTAATGACATGACAGAGGCTGAGGGGGAAGAAGGAATGAATAACTGTTCAACGGATCCACAATTTCAGTCTGGGAAGACAAAAATGAAGTTCCAGCGACAGACAGAGTAGCTGCACAATGTGAATGTGCTTCATCCCACTTTGACTGATTGGGGCCGGGGAGATGGCTCTTGCCACACAAAGTTGAGAACCTAAAATTGAATCCGTAGAACCCAAACGAAGCCAGATAAATAACAGGTGTCTGTAATCTCAGCAATCCTACAGTGAGATGGGAGGTGGAGACAAGAGATTCCTCGGAAGATCACAGACCAGCGAGGCTGGTGTACACAGTGAAGAACAACAAAGAGGCCCTGTCTCAAAGTGGAAGATGAGGACCTATCCAATACTGTCCTCTGACATCAGTATGCATGCTGTGGCAAACAGCATTCACACTCAACACACACACACACACACACACACACACACAGATTTATTAAGAATAAAAGGTGTTGTAAATTTCATTATGTTATCACCATACCTAGCTGTATACTTATAACTCAGATGGAAGGCACTGTCAAGACACTGCTGACACAGCCTTTTCTACAGCAAAACATGAGAACAGTGCAGGCAAACAAAAGGAATCAATTCCTAGACATTATGCTTTCATCTTAAACCCAATCACTTCGTGTACTTACCAAAAAAAACAAAACAAAACTAAAGGACTCTGTGTCCATTTCATAGTAAGAGTAGGTGTCCTGCTACACAACACAAAGCAATTTCCAGCTGAAGAAAGGAAAAAGCCTACGGCTTAGCCTCTAGAAATTCTTGTGCTGATAACCCGAATAAGCAACAAAATGCCTTGTTTAGTTAAGACTTGCATTGTAAAAAGCACCACAAGCAACAAAATAAAAGGCTTGCCATCTTTTCTGTAGAAACTGCTCCATAAATGTGATCGTGTGTGTCCAGCAGAGGAAGTCGGAAAGAGGGGGGATTCTTAGTGTCTCTCAGGCACTAGTGAGGGGATCAGGAAGACGTTCTCTGCCCGTCAGCCATACAGAGGTATTCAAAACAGACTTACCAACTTCTTCCCCTGCAACTGTCCTTCAGTCAGTGCTCAGGCCACATGGTCCCCCCCTTCGGGAAGCCAATCTTCCATACTCTAAAGCAGCCATAAAGTACCCAGTGTCCTTACTCCCCATGGAAAAAAGAAGGGTTTCTGATGATGTGGCTTTTGTCCTGATGCCCCCACCAATGCCACCCCAGTGTCAGGAGCAAGGGTGAGTTAGAGCAGTTCCCTGTGACCGAGGCCTTAGAAACCATGGCTTCACAGTATGGGGTGCAAAAGCTGGACTTAATATGGTCAAGCTAACCACAATGGGGTCTAATCAGGTCTGCCTGGAGCTAGTGGGAGGCAGCTTAGGTTGCAGCTAAGCGGGTGGGGGAAGGGGAGACGTCCCACGTCCTTTCTTTTCAGCACATTCACAAGCTCTACAGTCATTATTACTACATCATGCAAGTATGGTTAGTATTTATGATTCTTTTCTCTTTTTTTTGCTTTTATTGAAAACAGGCTGGGTGTTGGTTGTGCACACCTTTAACTCCAGTACTGGGGAGGCAGAACCAGTCCAATCTCTGTAAGTTCGAGGCCAGGCTAGTCTACATAGTGAGTTCCAGGACAGCCAAGGATACATCTTGTCTCAGGAAAACAAACAAACAAAAAACAGATGAAAACATTTTTTTTTTTTGCAAACAATATATTCTGATTAGTTTCCTGCCAAAGGCCATGCAGGAGGAACAGCAAAGGGCTTTAGAACTCATGGAACGGAACATGGCACAGCCAGGACAGGCATGCCTCAAATTAGCATGGAGTAAGGACAAGACTGAAGACTTTATGCTGTTAGAGTTTTGCTCTGCTTGCTGCCCTCACATCCCTCTTAATCTAAAAACTGTGTGAAAACTCTAAGGGGGCTTCCAGCCCTTCACTGGACAGCATCTCTGGCACTCGCAATGATAATATTAGACCTCTTTCAGGCATTGCTGCTGGAGCAGATTAACGACTCAGTCACCATCCTAAGAAAGAACGTAGACATGTAGATCGTCAGCAAGGACCACTTCCCTTAGAAAGCATTCAGAAAAATAAATTTGTTAGTGAAGCTAGGTTAAGATGTTTTTACTACTGGCTCTGATGTAGAAAATCTTAGGGAACAATTTGAAGTTCAGGAAAGAAGACTCTTAACAGTCCTTTAAACTAGGGAATTTTTAAGTTGGGAGAACAAGAACAGTGGCAGCACTGGGTGACGTGACTCTCACTGAGGCTGGACTGCTGATGATTGATTTCTCATACCCATTTTTGCCCTCAGCTTCCTGATACGATTTAATAAGAATTGCTAATGAGTACATATGCATTCTGAGGACTGAAAGTAGATATTACTGATTGTTTTCATATGAAAGTTTAGATTGATGATTCTTTTAAGATTCTTATAAGATTACTTTTAAAGATAAAATAATTAATAATAAAGATGATAAAATAATTAATCTTTTCTTCGTAACTTCAAATTGCTGCCTGTCAGTAAGAGAAACTGGCTGAGAAAACCACCTTGCTTCCTCACACTTTGTTAATCTGTAACAAGTTGCTTAGTTATGAATGTACATGGGTTCTTGGGAACAATTTGTTTTCTTTATCTGTACTCTGTAATGGTTTCTCATGGTTTCAACATACTGTTGTTTTATAGTCACTGAGTAAAAGAAAAATAGAATGTAATTATATTGTAATTCTATACTGCTTGAAAGATTTTGCTAGCATATGTAAGCTATGGAAGAAAAAATAAAGAGTGTGTTGGAGCTTGCTTCATTCATCAACTGTGAATGTATATGTGTATGTATATGCACATGTATATATGGGCATGTGTGAAATGCTTGGAGCCTGCTTCTTAGAACTTTGTTCCATTCATTCAGTGTGTGACTGTGTATGTGTCTGCCAGTATGTATGTATGTATGTATGTATGTATGTATGTATGTATGTATTTGTATGCATGGGGTTACGGGAGCCTGCTTTGTCTCATCTGCTCAGTGTGTGTGTGTGTGTGTGAGTGTGTGTGTGTAGACGTAGAAAAAAGTTCAGAGTTTTCCTCACTGGCCACAGGGAGTGACAGCCCCAATGAAACAAGTTTTGTCCCCTCAGCGAACAAATCTGCTGAGTATTCCTCTAATTGCTGACCACAAATCCCCAGATGTGAGCACTCACCTCCACCTGAGTGACATTGACGACCAACGCCACCACCATTAGCACCACAAACAGATAGCAGAAGACTCGTAGTTTGAAGAAATTGGTCCACATTGTCCGGCTGTGTCTTGATGACCCATGGCCGACACCATGGCACTCTCTCCTTCAAAGCGCCATATCTTTGCCTTGAGCTGTGGATGAGCATTTGGTTTAATTTGCTTCTACTCTGCCAGTCATCTTAAAAATTCTGTAGAGGAGAGAAAGCAACAATTCAAGAGGCATGTTTTCTACAATAAACAAAAGAAAGGAAATTCTCACCAATTGCAACAGATGAAGTCCATTTCTTTTCATTGGTTTTATCCAAGGTCCAGTCACAAAAACAGAGGAAAGGGCCTGGGAACAGTAATCTCTTATCTCCTGGGGACAGCAATATAGTATCTCTTGGGGACAGTAATATAGTATCTCCTGGGGACAGTAATATAGTATCTCTTGGGGACATTAATATAGTATCTCTTGGGGATAGTAATATAGTATCTCCTGGGGACAGTAATATAGTATCCCTAAATAATTGCTTCATTTTCCTTTTCCAATCCCAAGCTTCTATGCAGAGATGGTAATAGTTATAACTATGTATCTTAGAACTTTTAATAGAAAAAAAAAGTTTTCAAACTCAGACATTTCAAAATAAAAGTAAACATTAAATTTCTAGACTTTTTTTTTAATTGATCCTTTGTGAATTTTACATCATGCACCCCAATGATTTTATTTTCATTTTAAGCACATTGGTATTTTCCCATCATGTGAGGGCATCAGATCCCCTAGAACTGGAGTTACAGACAGTTGTGAGCTCCCATATGGGTGCTGGGAATTGAACCTGGGTTCTCTGGATGAGCAGCCAGTGATCTTAATCACTGAGCCATTTCTCCAGGCCCAAATTTCTAGAGTTTAACTAGGTAATATCATCTCACTTCCCTTATACCTTAAGTTATATAACATTTCCATATTTGTTATATATAAAGAGTGTTAGGAGGAGGCCTCGTGTTTTTATGAAGAGTTCTATCCAGAACACTGTGCAAAACACTCTGACCTATAGGAAAGCCAGATTACCAGCCCCCACAGCAAGCTATAAACCAGCCTTTGGTTTACAGTTCCCCCAACAGGTGGTCCCTGTTCTTCAGCAGTGACAAGACTTAGGAAGAAAGACACTCACCCCGAAGACGTGGAGGGTTGGGGGTGGGGAGAGACAGCTTGAAGATTTTGTAAGAGATCCTGATTCTTTTATCACAGATGTTTGTCGGCGAAGAACTAGAATCTCAGCAAATTCAAAATGTTCTCTCCAATTGCTGGTTTTACGTTGTTGTTCCTGCTGCTGTGTTTGGGGAGTGGGGTATTTCTACTCAGTAATGATTTCAATTATTTCCTCACTCTGATAATACCATTTTTATAACAGTTATGAGATTGCAGAAACTTCTCGTTTTATAGCAGGGAATAGATACCGCACATCTTATCTTTGTAGAAAAGTAGACAGAATAATACACAAGTTTTTCCAAAAAGAAAAGCCAAAAAACATTTGATCTGACCTCCTTCCTTCTAATATATATATGCCAATTCATTAGAAAATATAGTAATTTCTGTAGACAACCTTTTTTTTCTTGTATACTATGGGAATTCCTGGTTCAAGAATGGATTAGTTTTTAGTATTTAAAGTAAGGACATTTTATTACTTTCTGTAAAACAAAATTTAAAAATAATGCATGTATATGGCTTTAAACTCCAGATATGTAGGGACTGGAAGCATGTCAAGCAGTTTACTTAATTATCATACTTTTCTAGAGCCAGGCAGTGGTGGCGCACACCTTTAACCCCAGCACTTGGGAGGCAGAAGCAGGAGGATTTCTGAGTTTGAGGCCAGCCTGGTCTACAGATTGAGTTCCAGGACAGCTCAGGCTACACAGAGAAACCCTGTCTCAAAAACAAAAACAAAAAACAAAACAAAACAAAACAAAAACCCTTTTCTAGAAAATGTCTTAAAGCAAGAGTTCTCTTATCTATAATCATAGTCATATGTCATATTCTCTCTCTCTCCCTTTCCCCTTCCCCTCCCCCTGCCCCTCCCCCTCTTTCTCTTCTTCCTCCTCCCCTCACCCTCTTCCCATCCCCCCCATACATTTCCTTCCACCAAAGGACATGTAAAGAGGAAGTAACTATTTCTGTTTCCAAAAGGTATGCTCTGGGGTGAAGGTTCCTGTTAAGGGACATTTTGAATCACATTCCAGCTTGTGCTTGGCTTTTGCCGTCGCTCTCTGCAAATGAATTTCCCTGACACCTTAGTAAGCAAAGGACTCTTTAGTATGTCTACAGCTTAGGCTTGAGCGCTTCGGCATTGCTTGCTTTGATACGATTGTTAATGATTGTTAATGTTTGTAGCATTATTGGGAGGTCAGGCCTTGCTGGAGGAAGTGTGTCACTGTGGGAGTGGGCTTTGAGACCCTCCTCCTAGCCACATGGGAGTCAGCTTTCTCCTATCTCTCTTTGGATCAAGATATAGAACTGTCAGCTCCTCTGGCTCCATGTCTTCCTGGACTCTGCCATCCTACCCTGCCTTAATGATAATGGACTCTGAATCCGTAATCGAGCCCCAATAAAATGTTGTCCTTTATAAGAAAAGACTGTGTACAGCTCTTGACTGTGTACAGTCCTTAAAGAAGAATGTTGCCTTTACATAGACAAGACAGGGAGGGTTAAAGAGAGCATGAAAAAGGTCAGAGAAGGCCCTGAGAAAAGACAGAGAGAGAAAGAGAAAGATGAGAGCTGGTACGAGAAATTGGCTTTCATCCTCTCCATGGTTGTCAACCCTACTTCCTCCCATCTTGGGACCATTAATTAGGTTATTTTTGCTTATTTCTTTTGGTCCCTGGGCCTTAAATAGACTGACTAACTTTGTGAAACAACAGATAAATAATTTCGTTGCAAAACCTATTCAGATACATTATCATAAGTTAGCTATGGAGGACCACGAGACTCAAGATGAGGTTGTTACTGTATCCAGGGTGCTCCCAAAACCCATCTCCACCCAACCTAAAAGAGGGTACTTCTGCCCCTAGACCAGGCAGAGAGGGGCCACCCAGAACCCCCTCTGACAGGTGATCTGAATTCTTGCTTAGGCTGTGAGGCTAAGCATTGCAAGGGAATATAAATAAATGTTAAAAATATCTCTCTAGGTTCCCTAAGGGACAAGCCTGACTTCATAGGGGTTGATGTCAAAAGTATCCCCTCTCCAGGAAAAAGACATCAGGATGGATATGGCCCTCATGCCTCACTGGTCAACGACAGGGAAACCGGAGCCATTACAAGGTCCCCTTCAATTACTGCCTTCGCAAGATTAGAATCACCACAGCCCTTCTATACTTAAAGAAGGGAGGAGATGTCAGGGGCAGCCCTGCTTATATACTGAAGGCCTAAAATCAGCCATAGGCCTAACATCAGCAATAGGTCTGTCATACATGTATACTAACATCAAGTCTTGGGTCTCTGTGGAAAAACATTGAAACAGATGGCTATAAGCTATTGTAAACTGGCAGCTTTTGTGGAAATTTACCAGCCTGAGTAGTCACAGACCTTGTAAATAGGTAGCCTTTGTGGATAATACCAACTTAGATAAAGACACGTGAATCATAGGCAGAGTATAGTGACCTGTCCCTTGAACCTTCACCCAGCCGATACCCTGTTCTGAAAGATATCTGTACTCCCGCTGAACACCCACGCTCCAGTGTCATCCCCTTCCCCACGTCCTGCCTTTTTGTGTTTATAGCCCCTGTGTGAATAAGTAAAAATTATGATTTGATTTAAAAAAAAAAAAGAGTTGCCTCGGTGGTGGTGTCTCTTCACAGCAATAGAAACCCTTACTAAGACAATGTTCATGTATGCACTTTTTATCTTCAGTTCTTATATTGCACGGAAATGCAGACGAGTTGACATCATCTTCTGAGTTTAGAAGGGGCAGGCAATCCTGATTATCATTATCATCTACCATTCAAATTTTTTAATTATTTTTATAATTTACGTGTGTGTGTGTGTGTGTGTGTGTGTGTGTGTGAGTGTGCGCACATGTGGATGTCAGAGGACAACTAATAATAGTTAGTTCTTTCCTACCATGGGGGTCCTGGAAACTGAACTTAGAACACTGATCTTCAAGGCAAGAAGTTTTCCTTGCTGAGCCTCCTCTGACCCTCATCTGTTATTTTATTGGATATTTTCTACACCAGCTACTGTTACTGTTCTTTTCATTCCTCGGTTATTTTGACGTTACTCTGGAAAGCCTGATCAGATTTACTCTACTGTTTAGGAGGTGGATCGGAAAGAACTCCATTTTTACAACTCCAGTTTCTGCTGCCTCTAAACTGTTCCCTCACAGGCTACAGCTGAAAGTCGTTCCAGTCTGTGTGCCAGTGTTGATAAAAGCTTGTTTAAAGTATCTACTGCTCCAGTAGCCTTTGGCTGGAGATCAAACACAGGCTACTATAGACCTTAGTAAGAGACAAGGGTATACATTTAGAAACATTGTTTAGTGTAAGCCAAGGGATTGTTGCTACCTTGAAAAGGTAGGCTCTTCATTTATTAGAAATGATAATTCTGTAAAATTGGGCCAGTGAGGTGACTCAGCAGGTGAAGGTGCTTCCTGACAAGCCCGGCAGCCGGAGTATGATCCCCAGGAACCACAAAGTAGAATCACATTCCAGCTTGCGTTTGGCCTTTGCCTTTGCTCTCTGCAAATGAATTTTCTTTATATCTTAGTAAGTCAACACCTTTGCTGGTGCTGCTTGTAGTATGTCTACAGCTTAGGCACCCTTTGGCATTGCTTGCTTTGAAACCCTTGATATCCCTAGATAGTTACAGTATATGGTCAAGTAGAAGAACCTCTAAATAGAGTGGCCAGGGGGTATTACTTACTTCAGTTGGCAAGTGCTGGTGGCACTAAAATGAATTTTGAATTGTGCCTTGCCATGGTCTCTCAGGACAACAGATTCTGGAGCACTAGGGACAGCCATTCCCTTCTTCAGTGACCTATCCCTTCAGTTCCTTTCTCAATAACAGATCACAGCACTTTGTCAACCCAGAGGAAATTGTGAAGATAACAGACATGGAAAGAAGACGGTAAATCCAGTCAAAAGGGGGCAGAGCCCCACACTGCTGGGTTAAAGAATGGGGTGACCTCTCCTGAGAGGAATCAGACAGTCATGAGGGTCCGGGCATCTTGCCAGCTTCAAAGACACCCTAATACTCCAAATGACAAATAATGTCAATAGAAAGAGAGTGAAATCACCAGGGCAGTGTGATTCTTTATCTATTGGAAACATGGCAATAATCTTTTGTTGGTGAAAAGCAAGGGGGAAATTACAGTTTTTGCAAAATCCTGCCTCACAATGTCTCTTAGCACCACTGTCCTTCTGAACTTAAATCAAGCAGAGATAGAACACAAGCCAAGATCTCAACATCACACAAAGTACTGTCACACACTCGTTTCTCCCTACATGACTACTCTGACGCCTCCAAAACTGCAGCTCAGTAAGGCCTGAATAGTCCAAAGTATGACGAGACATGAAAAGAGGCAGCTGACGCCCTAGCAGCGATGAGACTGGCGATAGGGACTAAGCGGTGTCGCCAAGCTATCTGCACTGGGTGTGGGAAAAAGAAGAGAAGTATGGGGTGGGGGTGGGGGATACAGGGGCCTGGCTGCGCTCTCCGGTGCAGGTCACCTGAGGTGCTTGCTACCAGGCGCTGCAGAGCTGCATTAAGTGGAGAAACTGAAGATGAAGATGTTCAGGCTCGCCCTGCATCCTCTTTGCAGCGGCTCGGAACCTCCGGACCTTGGCAGCTGCAGCCCAGGGCTGAAGCTCTCTGCTTGTTGTCTTCGGTCCGGGCCTCTGCCCCTGGGCTCTCACATAATTGGGGACCGCAGCTCCCTACACCGGGCCGGGGACGTTAAGGACCCGGGGTCCGCGCGCAGAACACAGGGCTCTGCAGCTGCGGGGCGCACGAGGCACGCCGCACCCGGCGATCCCCGGACAGGCTCCGTCCCGCCCCGCGCACAGTCGCAGCTCGCACTCACCAGGTCTCCGGTCTCTCTGGTCGCTAGCCCTCCCACGGGATGTGGACGCTCCGATCAGTGGCCTCCGCTCCAAGCCGTTCTTTCCCCGCTTCCTGACCGCGCTACGGCGCCTCACCCCCGACCCCCGGCTACGATTGGTCCGACTACGGGCGGAGCGGGGCGGGGCAGGGATGTTGACTGACAGCCGCGCAAGCTGGGTGATGTGCCCAGCAGTGGCGAGCTAAAGGAGTTGGCACTGCCTGTGCTAACCTCCGCCCTAGGGAGCTTGTGTTCTGATGACTGTGTACCTCCGGAGATACTCTCTAGCCCGAGGGCTGGATCCTTTTGGAGACACAAATGCAGATGACCTTCGAACATCAGCGTTTCTCTGGAGCGCCCCTCAGCTGGTTCTCTGCCTGAGAACTAACTACAACGCTGACCCATCAGTGGCAAGTTACTGGTACCAGAGAAACACTGCTTGCCAAACGTGAGCATAGAGATAGCAGCTGTCTTGAAGCTTCTCTCTTTGAAGTTAGTCTCTTGGCAAAAGTGCCAGAATATTCTACCCAAACCACCCTCAATGCTGGATTATCCTAGATTGGACATTTTATGTCAAAAGCAGTTTGAGATGCTGAGGAGTCCCTAGAGGACAGAAGGGCCTGTGTGGGACGAAAGACGTTCCTGGTTTTGCTGTGTTTCTCGAAAGATCATAGAACACAGTGGGATTGGTCTTGTAATATGAGCAAAATACTGGAGGAAAAAAAAAGCCTGCCCTCAGACTTAGTCCCCAAGTTGAAAAAGAATCAGTATAAATTACAACTGTCTGTGGTGAGACAGCCACTAGGCAAGAATTGCCTCTTTTCATCTACAGATAAATTACTGTCCTGAAAAGGAGATACTTGCAGAATAGTCGACTGATTATATCTGCCAAGGCAGAGTAATTAGCCCTTAATAACTCTGCATCACTAGGTCTGTCAGATGATCCTAGGCCAAAAGGCTGAAGATCGGATGCTCCAATGTTTTGTAGTATAGGGACTGTCCAGGTGTTCAGTGGTCTCTATAAATTGGCTAAGTTTTAGAAGCTATGCTTTGTGCTTCTCATAATTTCAGTTAATTCAGTCATTCTGGATTTCTGATGGGGTTGAAGACTTATAGTCTCGTAGCCAATCCCGGCTATTTGCTTTTAGAGAAAAGATTTGAGAGGATGATTTTCAGCTGACATTCATTCTAAAGCCAAGAAAAAAGCCAGGTTCAGAACTAAGTCTTTTTTTTTTTTTTCACAAAATGCTTTATTCCTCTAATTGCTAGTTCTTATAAATAACTTTGGCAACATTAAAATAACTTTTATTTGGTGAAACAAGCAACCAACTTCACAGAGTAACAAAATAGTAATCTTGACAAATATTTAATACATGTGTAAACAAAACAAAGTGACATTGCTTTAAAAATAGATAGAGCTGTTGATATAAAACAGAAAGCTTCCAGAGACGCAGCTCACTCTACTTCTTTGAGTTAGAGGCACAAAAATGGACTTAAGCTAGCTCACTTCTAAGACAGCCAAAGCTCTTGCTAAGGATTTCTTCCTCAAGTTCTAGGAGTAGGAAACTTAGCTAGATTGCCGAGGGCAGAAAGCTGCAGGGAGAGGTAAGTTGCCTTCCAAGAGAAGAGGTAAATGGGCTTCAGGAGCAGGAGACATTTCTAGTCACTCTAAAAATCTTGATAAGCTTAAATAACCACAAGTGAGGTAGCAGCCATGCAGGCTTAGGGAAAGCACTGTGAGAGCAACCCATGCAGCCTCCACATCAGGAGGAAACAGGAATTGACTGAGGAATGGCAAAGTCAGTGGGTGACAACTGTGCAGTAGCTGGGGAGGTTGGTTTGGGCAGTGGCAGGGGACAGGAGAAGCAGGTAGGCAGGAGCCAGAGCCCTGGGCCTCCCTTAGCAGTAAACAACCATCTGTACTCCTTAGGAGCTGGAACAGAAAACTACAGCGACCAGGCTGGAGACACTCAACACAGGTCTAAGAGGGTTCTCGCTTTTATCATAAGCCTGCAGACTCATGCCATGAACAATAGATTTTCCACCAGAAAAAGTGGGGCAAATACACTTTCTACACCTGAAGGAAAGGTACTGGGTAAAGAGTGTGATGTGGCAAAAAAAAAAAAAAAAAATCACTGAAAAGGCCTATCAAAATAGTCAAGAGGCAGATCACAGTCAATCAATTATCAAGCACAGAGCAAACCATAGATACTCACAACCTCTTGTTTTCCTCAGTCTTAAGAGCCAGGGCAAGGCCTGGGCATAACCTCTTCCCATTTTTTTTTCATGGAATCTAGGGAAACTTCACTAAACTGAGGAAGGAAAAATGGAACATTGACATCCAAGGAACCTGTCCCCACTGCCTCCTTTGTTGTTAAGGGATAGGGTCTTGCTGTGTAATTTGGAACTCACTGAAGAGCCCAGGCTGACTCTCAACTCCAGATCTTCCTGCCCCAGCCTCCCAAGAGCTCTCATTACCAGTGTGCTACCACACCCAGCAAGATAAGGTACCTTTAAAGAAAGGAACAGGACACTCAAGAGTTTTGAGTCCAGTGTCTATTACCAGCGTGCACCCAGACTCCTTGAGGGATGAGCAGCAGCAGCTGGTCATCTGGGCTGGAGGTGGAGGGACAACAGAAGGACAACAGCCCAGGCTCAAGGACACAGCCCTGGAGATTTACAGAAAGGGCCAATGCTACTGAAGTTGTTGAAGACCAGTCCTCAGAGGATGCTCTACAGCAGAACTAAGTCTTTTAGTTAGGAGTGATGACAGAGGTTCTGGTTAGTCAACAAAATCTTGGACTGGGTATTAGGTCTATCTTGTACCTTACTGATACAAATTGGTATAGTTATGCTCTAATTGTATTTTGAGAGAAAAGTTTTATTTTAACAGGAAAGGTGATATGTAGGAGGAGCTAAGGTGGGAGGAGTAAGGAAAGGAAGAGGGGGAGTAAGGAGAGGAGGAGGAGGAGAGGAGGAGCTAGGGGACAAGGGGGATGGGGAGGGACATGGAGTCAGGTGTCTCCTCCAGTCAAAGATAGTTGGTTTATCTAGGTTGAGTATTGAGCTACACTTCTGATTGTATGGGCCTTGTTATTGAGCATTACCAAACATATAAAGCCTTTGATTAACATTTTTAAAAAGTTACTAATAAAAAATAAAAGAAAAAATAATCAAGGAATGTTTTCTCAAGTATGACTTACTTTATAAAAATATAAGTGAAAATATTTTTTCATCAGAAATTATAAAGCATTATAGTCCAAAAATAAATAAATATATTACATCTGTCATTAATCGTCTTTCTGTTTATTGACCACGGAGCTCTAAGAGCCTGAGGTCAGGAAAGACTGAAGCAAAACAACTGTCTCCAGGACATGATAAGACCCCTGCGTTCATGATCGCAGAGCACCTGTGCACAGACATGAACAAAAGTAAACCCACAAACATTCTAACATAGCAGGACAAAGGATTCATGTGTACCCTCGTTAACTGAAGACCCAATAATGGCTTCTGGGAGAAGTAGATACTGCTTTCTTTAAGGGCCTGGTAGATCAACCACTCTCCAGTGAATGACCCCACACCTGTTAAGTGTTCGTGTAGCACAAACTGGACTAAGAGTTTTGTTTTTTGGGTTTTTTTTTGTTTTTAATTTTAATTAAGAGAACACAGAGTTAGTGAAGGGAGTTGAAAGCGGATCACGGGGGAGTAGAGACTGAAAATGATTAAAACACATTGCATGAAGTTCTAAAAGGAGTAATAAAAATTTATATTTAAAAACTTATAGATTCTGCCGGGTTGGTGGTAGCACACACCTTTAATTCTAGCACTCAGGAAGCAGAAGAAGGCAGATCTCTTGAGTTTGAGGCCAGTCTGGTCAGTGGTTGAATTCCAAGACAACCAAGGCTACACAGAGAAACCCTGACTTTAAAAACAACAAAAGTATAGATTCTGAGACTAAGTACTAAGTGAATAGTGGACCCTTATCTGGTATGTGCAACGCTCTGGGCTTGATCCACCCCTCCTCACCCCACCCCACCCTGGTCCCCTGTCACCATCAGCTGGCTGAATATACTTCCATTTCTTCAACCCATGCACTGAGCACCAGTGAGTGACAGCAAGTGGCACCCTCTACTATCAGTCTCTGTCTATGCCTTGAGGATCAGACCATACTAGTGTTACAGCCCCTATGCAGGCCTTCTTTGAGACCCTTAACCCTTGACAAGCAGCCTGTACTACAACTCTCAACCTGGGGTCTGAGACCTTCAGGCCTGAGGATTTGCTACATCTCTGGTTAGAGGGATGAGGGCTAGCATGTTCACTTTTGGGGGGTTGTGGGGAGGATTACTACCTTTTGCCAGCTTTCAGTTCTGGTTTCTCTGTTTCCACTTCTCTTCCTGCCCTGGAGATGCTTCGGCTGGTCAGCTGCTTCTTCAGATGTTCAGATAAGCTGGTGCCTACGGCTGGTTTTTCCACAACTTGATAGCTATTGCTGGTTTGAACACTTCGTAGTTGCCTCTGTTAAGACGACCTTCAGAGACCACACCACCCAACACAGCTCAAAAGTATGGGTCAGCTAGCATAATGGTGTACATCTTTAGTCCCAGCAGAGGCGAGTAAATGTCTGTAGTTTCTGAGGCCAGCCTGGGTCTACATAATTGAGTTCCAGGACAGCCAGAGCTACACAGTGAGACCCTGTCTCAAAAACAAATGAAGAAGATGAAGAGGAGGAGGAGGAGGAAGAGGAAGAGGAAAGAATGAAATGGGAAGGAAAGAAGGAAGAGAAGAGGAGAGAAGAGAGAAGAGGAGAGGAGAGGAGAGGAGAGGAGAGGAGAGGAGAGGAGAGGAGAGGAGAGGAGAGGAGAGAAGAGAAGAGAAGAGGGAGAGACCCACTCACCACCATGCAGTGTGGGCAAGTGGAAGACAAGCAGAGGCCCACCTGCCTTGTGTCCCAGCCCTCTATGGCACCACTACAATGTCCGAGTATGTGATGGAGAGATAGGAAAAAAGAATCGAAATAGTTTGTGTACTATGAAGAGAGGCAGATCTGAAGACATGAGACATGAAGGCGATAAGGAACAGCCTAATGTGAACAA